GAAAAGAGAGAGAGTGATGGAGGAAATGGATCTCGACGCCTTGCTCACGAGCCAGCACGAGATTCACGGGCGCATTGCCCGCACCATGGAGAACCTGCGCAAGCTCGGTGCGGCCAACATTACGCAGTCCGCCCTCGAGACCCGCATCACGATTCTGACGCAGCTGTGGGCCAAGTTCGAGGCACAGCACGATCTCGTCCTGGCAAAATCTGAGGATTACAGCACCAGTGAGTACGCAACCTCGAGGCTCCTCGAAATTGTTGAGGACACATACGTGCAGACGGTGAGCGAACTCACCGAACAGCTCCGCGCGCTTACCAACGTTCCTGCCTCTTCCGCGTCCTCAGAGCAGAGCGAGTCCCGAGTCGGGTCAGGTCCGAGAACCTCGCTGCCGCGCATTAAGCTGCCTCAGTTCTCAGGCGCGTACGAAGACTGGCCCTCATTCCGCGACTTGTTCCTGTCCGTCGTGGGCGAGAACTCCGCGATCTCCAACGTGGAGCGGCTCCACTATCTCCGGTCGTGCCTGCAGGGGAACGCCGAAAAGTTAGTAAAGTCCTTGACCATCACAAACGACAACTACGATCGTGCGTGGGCGATACTAACGAAACACTTTGAGAACAAACGAGAACTCATTCGGTGCAATTTCGCGAACTTCATCTCCGTGGGGAAAATGAAGGGTGAAAGCGCGGAAGAACTGAACCGCGTCCTTGCCGCCGTAACCGCTGCCGTGAATGCTCAGGAGAGCATCGACCGGCCTATTCAATCTCATGGGATGGACCTCCTAAACTACCTGGTCGTCGAGCTTTTCGATCCGCGCACTAGGCTGGAGTGGGAGTCCTCCAATGATTCGAACGAGCCTGTTGAGTATGAGACGTTAGTCGAGTTCATGACCAAGCGCATACTCACCTTGAACGCCGCCAAACCGCGAACCGCCGTGAAAGCCTCGTCCGACGCGCCGCGCACCGCCAAGAGTCATCATGCCAAACGCGAGACGGAATCTCGAGCCTGCGAGCTGTGCAAGGGCAAGCACTCCCTTTGGCAGTGTCCGGACTTGAAGGCTAAGTCCGCCACTGAGCGCAAGGAGTTTGTCACGTCCGAGCGACTCTGCTGGAACTGCCTCGGGCGTCACGCGGTTGCTAAGTGTCAGTCCTCACGCAACTGCTTCTCCTGCGGAGCACGACACCACACACTATTGCACGACGCGAGCGTGTCCAGCAAGCCCGCTGAGGCGAGCGCCCTGACTTCCGCGAGTAGAGGCGAATCCGGCGGGTCGGTCCTCCTGGCGACGGCACGTGTGCTCGCGGCCGACCGCAACGGACTCCCGCACGCGGTGCGGGTATTAATCGATCAGGGATCCGAGGTGTCGATCGTCTCTGAGGCACTCGCGCAAAGACTCCGCCTCCCGCGCTCGCGTACCTCGTTGTCGATCCTCGGGATCGGCGAATCCAAGTCCGCGACGGCGCGAGGCAAGGTGTCTCTCCAGCTCACCGCCCAGGCTACCGGCGTCAATCTGATCGTCGACGCGTACGTCCTGCCGCGACTCACCCTGTATCAGGGACCCGCCGTCAGTCACGAGGTTGACTGGCCTCACATCCGCGAGCTCCCGCTAGCCGATCCGCAGTTCGCCTCCAGAGATCCGGTCGAGATTCTACTCGGTGCCGAGGTGTGTGCGACCATCTTCGAGAGTGGGCTCCGCAAGGGAGACCCCCACTCGCCACTCGCCCAGAAGACCAAGCTAGGCTGGATCCTGTCCGGAGGCAGCGACCAGCCAACCGCCGTCAAGCACCGCCTGGTGAACCAGTGCTCCGTCGACCGTGAGCTGAGCGATCTGGTGCAGCGTTTTTGGCTCCAGGAGCAGGAGCCAGTCAGCAAGGTGCCACTCACGACGGAGGAACGGATGAGCGAAGCGTTCTTCGCTGAGTCTCACTCGCGCACAACGTCGGGCAGATACATGGTCCGGCTGCCTTTCACGACGAAACCGCGCTCACTTGCCGGCACGAGGTTACCCGCCGAACGGCTGTTAACGGCCATGGAACGCAAGGGCCGGAACGACTCCCGCTTTGGATCTCTCTACAGAGAGTTCATGCGGGAATTCGCCGAACTGCAGCATATGGAGGCGGTGAGAGCTCCATCCACGCAATCCCCGGGGAGATGCTATCTTCCTCACCACGGGGTACTCAAGGAGGCCAGCGCGACGACGAAACTGAGGGTCGTCTTCAACGGCTCTCAGCGGACCGCATCCGGGGAGTCCCTCAACGGCAGCCTGCACATCGGAGCAAACCTCCTGCCCGCACTGTCTGATGTCCTGCTGCGTT